ACAACGTGTATTGTTTTTTACAACAATATTTCGGCTGGCTATAACAGCCTTCTTCAGGTTTACAGATTTTACTGAACCTATGTAGGAATCACAATATTATATAGATGGAGAATGTCGCAATAAAAATTGTTTAAAAGGGAGAGGCGGAAATGAAGTACAACATAAAAACTGGAAAGGAAAAAATACTAAGGATATGATCGAATTACAATAGTTCGTCACGGCGGTTCAGGCCATGAGGAGTCATGGCCTTATCTATCAAATGCGACTCCCTGGTCTTACGAACTGAGTCACGTGAAGAACGAATTTTCTCTAGTGGGATTAACTGCATGTCAGTATGAGAGTGGTTAGAGTGAACCGTGGCCCTATCATGCAGTGACTTCATTTCCAATTCTCTGTTTTATTCCCATTTTTCACTTTCCCGTTCCTTGCGCTCGTTCCTCGCTCCCGCCATTCCCGTTTTGGTAACATCAGTCAGATAACCCAACTTGGTCACAATACCTTCGACAGATTTCTCTGAGTCATATTCCTTACATTTGTAAGTGGTAAACCATAACGGTCTTTCGACTCACTGTGTGATCGCATGGTACTGAAAATCCTAGTATTTCTATGTAGCATTATTTCTTACGCGGTGACACCGCATCATTGTCTTGCTTTGTTATCAGCAATTTCAGCACATTATAGCAGTCTGATATGGGTGCTAAGCTAGATATTTTGGCTTGGGCTGAGAATAATTGCTGGTGACACGATGGTGTCATTCTCTATTTACTCCCGAAAAGAATGCTGTTGGGGTCAAGCAAAGGAAAGAGAGATATTTCAAATTTACCAAAACAAGGTTAAATTTCTTGACTGGAAAGGTCATATAGTTGTAAAACTGACCGAGTAAATAGACCTATTTACCGATACGACGGCCATTTCGAGTTATTTAGATTTAGGGAGTATTATGGGATGCTCAGAGGGCATGAGCACGATCCGATATACTAGACCAGTATTTACGCGCGGTTTTCGGGCCAATTTTTCTTTAAGTTTTCCTCGAAAAAGATTGTAATGGGAAAAAAAGATCGTTATACCGTGTTTGGATGTAATAATGATCGTCTTTTAACCAAGAAATATACAGTGAAGTTCTCTTTTTGCCCGAAAAGCGCGCGTAAATACTCACCGAGTGCCCCCTGGGCATCCCATAATAGAACTTAAATCTAATAAATTAAATATGGCCGCCGTATCGGTAAAAAGGGCTATTGAAGTCGGACCGGTTCTGAGGAAGAACTTTGCAAGTAGTAAGTACAGAACTCTAACTTGTGACCTCTACAGATTGACAGTTTCTGGCGGTACTGCCTGAGTACCGCCAGAGGTACTCAGGCAGGTTATAATGAAAAGTTAAGGTGCAAGACCACTGCAAAAACCGCGTACGATCAATCTTGCTCTCGACGTTGGATCAAAATAGATCGCGATCAGGCAAAATTTATAAAAACTGTAAATTATATTAAAAAAGACTGTAGCTACGATATTTCGACTGGCCCGGGCGATACCAGTCTTCATCAGGTATATCCTATCATATCTATTCATATCCTATCTAAGATAGGATAAGAAAGTCAATTTTTTTGTCTAATAGCGTGAGGCTTTAAGGAAGCAAGCCGCTGAATTCCACTAGAATGTTTCAGTAACTCTTCACCGGCTTAAGAGTCCTGAAAAAGCTGGCTTCTCGCTTCTTTACTGATGAATGATTTTCCTACCGTTGTTTTGTGTCGAGTGTTTGATGTATCACTTGCATGGTCCTTCATTGCAAGACATGGACTTCTTTCTTGCTCCAACACAGTCCTTTCCCTTCCACTGACGAGGAGGACTAGTACAGGTTCGTGTTCGTACTTTGACGCCACTGCCACAAGTCACACTGCAGGCAGAGAATGCGCTCCAATCGGAGAAGCCACCATCAACAGCTGTGAAACAAGATCGTGAACATTGTGTCACTGAGGATCATGCACCCTGCTCCATTAAACCTGGACGACCCTACAGGGACAATAGGCACCAATTTACTTTCTCTAGGTCTTTTACAGCTAGAGATTTCGTGAGAACTACCGATTTCAATTACATCTTAAAGCGAGTACTTTTTATCCCGCCTAAAAACAATTTTCTTGAGGAACATCTACCGACAAAACGTCTTTAGCTCTCTTTTCGCTGGCTACTTTTTCGCCTTTGCACAAGAAAGTTTGGCAAATTTTCTTCATCTTGTAAAGTGTCCCGTCGTTTTTCTCTGTCTGCGTACAAACCTTTTGAAAAATACGTTTCCGAAGACATTTTGACCGCAGAAAAAAGTTTCAAATTTGGTGGGCCGTACTGGAGTAAACGGCCCGCAAAATTGATCAAAAGCAGAGCGCATACTAACTAAGAGATGTAATAAGCTACAATAATAAGATTTATTACAAGGGCCAACTGTTTATTTTGAATAAAGCCAAAATAGCTCACTCATTGATCAGTACCCGTTAATGGCCAAAAAATTTGATAGCGTCTGTTTAAGTAACACTGCCTTTTCGTCCTTACGGACATCCTCCACATAATACGACATTATAATTATCACTTACGCTGGCAGATGACTTTCGTTAAGTCATCAAACAAGTCATTTAGTTCTGTATAATTTGACACATGGTAGGCGTGGTCATTAACGACGCCTCTTAATCCCCTCTGATGTTTCGACTTTGCACTCGTTGCGGTTACCACCAAACGTGCACCTTTTCCCTAAAATGAAAAAATATATTTACCTTAGGTATTTTTTTAGGTATTTTTATTTATTTGCCACACAATTACAATAATTACTTAAAGATGCCAAAAGAAAAAAGATATATATATAGGAAGAGATGGCGAGGAGGCCTAAAAGAAACTATAAAGCTTATGTTAATTAGGCCTCCTCAATTACAATTTTTCAAAGATGGCATAAAAATTACGGCGACGGGTACAATATAATATCAGGTAAAAAATTAAACTAATCAATGTTACGGAAGTTTACATGTACAAATGTTGAATATTAAAAGGCTTTTTCCCAAGATTTTTGTTGAAGTATACTAATAATTATTACAAATAAATGCCTTAAGTGCTCTTTTAAAGGAGAAAGGTGAGGAAGCGTTGATGATGTTGGTGTTTAAGGTGTTGTAAAATTTAGGTCCTTGATAAAAAACGGAAAATTGCTTGGTTCGAGTACGACAGAAAGGCAGACGAAATTTACACGAGTTTCTTGTATTATACGAATGAATTTGACTTTGTAAGGTAAATTTACAATGAAATTTTAAAGGTAGAGTATGGTTTTGATAGGAGTACATGAATAAGCCTAGTTGTATTAAGTATATATCATGAAATTTTAAGATACCAAGATTTTGAAAGATTGGATCAGTATGTGCATCGAAAGTGGTTTTAGCTATAGTTCTGATCACTCGTTTCTGTAAAATCTCAAGACGAATAAGGTTAGTTCTGTAAGTAGAGGCCCAAACTAAGTTGCAGTAAAAAAGGTATGGATAGACTAGAGAAAAATATAGTGTTCGTAAGGTTTTCGTGGATAAATAGAAACTGGATTTACGAATAATTCCTGTGCATTTAGAAACTTTATTGGCGACATGTGAGATTTCAGATTTCCAATTTAGATTTTCATCCATGATTACTCCCAGGAAAACTGTTTCTTTTACTTGATCAATTTTTTGACTATTAATTAAAAGTTGAATAGTTTGATTTGTACGCTTTTGGGATGGTTTAAATGCAATGAATTTGGTTTTTTTTCAAGTTTAATGAAAGCCTGTTAGCTCTAAACCATATTGACAACTTATTTAGTTCAGCATTCAGTATATTAGTGAGGCAGTCTTTATCCTTGTGAGACACAAATACGTTTGTATCATCGGCAAATAATATCAGTTGTAATATTGTTGACGTGTTGATTATATCGTTGATGTAGAGTAGAAAAAACAAAGGCCCTAGTATTGAACCTTGGGGAACGCCACACATGATATTAGCACGATACGAAACATAACCATTGTATTCTACAAATTGAAGTCTGTTGGAAAAATAGTTCTTAATCCATTTCAGAGCCAAGCCACGTATACCATAGTGTTCAAGTTTATCAAATAAGATGGAATGATTGACTGTATCGAAAGCTTTCGAGAGATCTAAAAAGACACCAACCGCTAATTCACCACGATCAATAGCAGATGAAATTTTTTTCATGCAAATCAATCAAGGCAAGCGTCGTAGAGTGGTTTTCCTGAAGCCGAACTGGTTATCACAGAGAATATGTAAATTAGTTAAATAATCATACAAACGATTATAGATGATTCTCTCTAGAAATTTTGAAAAGCTTGGTAGAACCGAGACAGGCCTATAGTTAGTGAATAGTGACTGGTCATCAGCTTTAAACAGTGGTACCACACGAGCTATTTTCATTTGATCTGGTACAACGCCATGAGCGATCGATAAATTCATAATGTGAGCCAGAGGTCCCGAAATGATTTGAATGGATTCCTTAATTATAGACATTGGAATATTATCATATCCAGCCGCTTTCCCGGAAGCAAAAGATTGAGCAATGGTAATAATTTCATCCTCTGTTGTTGGGCTAAAAAAGATTGATTCTCGAAATGATCCAGATAGAAAATCTTTATGTGAACAAGGAGGAGGCTGTATCTTCTTAGCGAGGTTGGGACCAATACTAGAGAAGTAGCTGCAAAACCTATCTGCTACTTCCACTGGATCAGAAATCTCCTGACCGTCTGATTTAAATATTGTATTTAATTGAGGCCTCGACTTTTTCTATTTAAGACTTCGTTTAAAATTTTCCAGGTCGCGTGTGTATTTGATTTAGCATCTTCCAATTTCTTTTCATAATACCGACGCTTAGCCAAACGCAAGGTGTGATTCAATTTGTTCTTGTATCTTTTGTAGAGTGAACAATTGTCGACTGTTGGAACTTGAAGATATTTTTTGTAAAGTTTATTCTTTGTTTTAATTGATTTAAGAAGAGCTTTCGTTAACCACGGTTTTTTAAAGCGCCTCTGCTATCTGAATGAATTGAGAAGACGGGTAGATGATCTGAAATGTCAGTAAATAATAAGCCGCTTCTCGAACGTTCAAAAAAGTTGTTCGCAAAAATATTATCTATTAACGTAGCAGTATGTGAAGTAATTCTCGAGGGACGCGTAATCAAAGGAAAAAACATATTAGAGTACATTCCATCTAGGAATTGGCCTGTGAGGTGATGATTTTGGTAGTTAATTAAATTAATATTAAAGTCCCCCATTAGGAAGCATATTTTGTTTTCTCTAGAGATATTACCTAACAACTCATTGTTTGTAGACAAGAAATCGTCGAGTCTATGATTTGGCGGTCTGTAAACAATACCAACAATTATATTTTTTTCTCGAGGTCTTATTAATTCAATGAACAGTGATTCTACAGTATCAACATTATGGAGGGACAAATCTTCTCGAAGTTTGAACTCTAGATCGTTTGAAATATAAAGCCCTACCCCACCTCCAGTTCTATTTTGCCTATACTTGTGAAGAAATTTGAAACCATTAATATCGACCGAATGAGCAGAATCGTTTAGCCAGGTCTCAGAAATTCCGATTACAGAAAATTTTATGTTTAAGCATGATAGATAGTCAGTCAGCTTTACTAAATTATGAGGAAGACTACGAATATTAAGATGTAGGAAAGAGAAATCGGCATCAGAATAATTTTCGCGTCTGAGCATTTCGTTAAATTGATTTTCAATAAAATAGTCGCAGGGTGTCTCAACTGCATGAAAATTAATGTCAGGATCAAGACTGCCAGACTGTGTCAAAGAAGCGTTTGAGTTTGAAAAAATTGGATTGTAACGTAAGCTAGAAAAAAACATCCTAAAGGACAAAAAAACATCCTAAAGGACAAAAAAAAAAAAACATCCTAAAGGACAAAAAATCTTACCTGCAGTCAAATTATGTACTTCCTAAAGCATAACTGACAGACTTGCACTGTAATGTGTGAAACGTTAACTAATGACGTGGAATTTGAAACTGAAAGGGAAGCTGCAGATGAATTCACGTCTTTCTACATCTGTCGGCGAAAACAATCATAATGTATTTTATCCCTCAATATATAAAATTTTATAAGTTGCTAGGAAACAATTTGATGTTTTGTTCCGTATATAGATGCTTGGTAGGTCGGTAGGTCTCAGTATTTTCCCAAGTACTAAATTGAAAGTATCATGAACTGCTTCAGTCTAAAGATGCCGCGGTATTCATATGATTTCCAGACGATTGCTACCACCGCTGAGTACGATCTTAAAAGTGATAAATCACGTCTTAAGAAAAATTTATGAGATTTCGGGAGGAAATATAAAGGAAATTAATGTTTGGTTATTTGTTTATTTATTTGTGAAACACGCCTTAGTTTACTATTCATTTTCTTGGTCACATGACCCAAACTGATAATAAGCCTCGAGTTCCAAAGGAAATAACGCTCCCACCCCCACCCCCACTGTATATAATGGTTCCATTAAATGAGCATTTTTGAAATGAGAATGCAATTTTGCCAAAATGTTTACGTGACCCTAACTGCCCAGAACTCGTTGCGAAATAAAGAAAAGTTCTCATCATTGTATTAGTTCACTGAAAAGCGATATACCGTGTGACATCTTAACTGCCAGTCAGTCAGGTGAGGAGGTAGCAAAACACATATTACCTTCAAAGGTGATGAAATAGTTTGAGTCATGTCTACCAACAAACCAAGGTCCAGTTTGCAACGGAACTTATCATCTAAGAGAAATAAGGAAAGTCAGATAATTATATGAGATCAAATGTTTATACGATATGTCATAATATTCCTGTTATCTTCACTTATAAAATAACTGAGATAGTACGCTTGATCTGATTGGTCAAAAACCTATGGTTTATTATACCGGTAAACCCATAGAAAAAGGCATTCGGACCATGAGCCATAACCAAAACCGACTATTGATCTGCAAACAATGGTTTTAGAAAGGCTAAAAAACAGAACAAGTTACTTACCCTGCCCTTCTTAATATCAAAAGCGTTGGTTTCCACATTTTATTACTGCCATAGCTTTAGAAGTAATAAAGTACAAAGCTGGAAAGCAATTTACATTTTACGACTATGCAAATCGCAGAGAAAGACAACAACTGTGTGAAAGAGATTTCTACTATTTTTCACATCTCCAGAGAATTTCGCTCTTTTTATAACACCCAAGCTTCTTGTTTTTTTTTTTTAATCATTATTTTTAAATAACAATAAAAATACAATAAAATACAAGGGAGTATTAAAATACTTCCTTCTATTTAATTGTTGTATTTTGAAGCATTTAGGATTAATACATAAGTATCGATATATGAGCAAAGCGTTCAGCGATGTCTCTGGGGATAAACCCCATTTATTTACCACTACAGAAAGACCCAGAAAATACCGTGACATATCGTAATGTTCTTTGTTTGTTGCTCCAAAATTTTGCATAAGCATTGTTTTCAGCTTCTCTTGGGGCCATTTTAATTCCCAAGAGGAACTGAAGATTAAAATAGTCGACCCAAACAAGACCAGGGTTGGCTCAGGGTTTATTCGGACCCCGAAAGGAAACCATACGGAAAGAGAAACTAAATAAAAGCTTTCCTTCGTGAGCTCCCCAGATGAGATCAAAACCTGCTCAACCCTAGGCGAGACGGCAGACACCCCCCCCTCGCCCCCTTCCCCATCAAATGGCATACCCTTCCTGGGTGTTATCTTTGTGGATAACTGACCGAAGATTGATTTCTCTCTATGTAGTCCACCTTTTTTTTAAATACTGTGGAAATATTCCAGAAAAGAGAAAAAGAAAACAAGATTTTTACCTCTTACTCCAAGTACAAATCGCTGGCAGTTGTTTTTGACATCATTGGAGCAGTTAGACGGGAGGCAGCAATAGTAAGATCCACTATCAGAATACTGCAAGTCGTTCACTGTCAATACATATGGCGCGTAAATCCCATCGCGATGTATGCGGTATTTTGCATCTGAGCCACCTGTAAAGGTATTTTAAAACTGAGAACAAACTTCCCTATTGAAAAAAGGCCCATAACAAAACTAACGCTTCAATAAGTACAGTACAAACTTCCTTTACTTGGACCACCTCGATACTATGAACGCATTCTCACTCATTTATACTTGTTCGAATATTGATTAACTTAATTGGCCGTTTTTATGCTAGAGTAGCCTGCGTAGCTGGCGGTATTGTGTAGTAGTCGAGTGAGATTTGACGGCGGAGCCGTCACGAGCGGCGAAGCCGCGAGAAATACCACCTCGTCCCTACTCCCTTTTTTTGGAACACGGCTCCGCCGCCAAAACTTAATCTCGCACCCACACAATACCGCCAGCTACGCAGGCTAATGCTAGAGACGTTAAAGTCGTCTTAAGACGACTTTAACGTCTAGTATAAAAACGGTAAATAAGGCAAACGACTTTAACGTCTGATGACTTTAAGGTCTTCTGTTAAGTGCGTCCGAACGAGGCACTTAACAGACGACTTTAAAGTCTCAGACGATAAATGCGTCTAGACGACTTTAACGTCTCTAGCATAAAAACGGCCATTGACATGCAAACAAAAGTATCCTATTCCACTTTTTTAGGAGTAATTATATGCACCAGTCTTGTAAGCCGGTGGAGAGGTTAGGCCATCCCAATAAAATGTTTCGTTTCCCATCGCCCGACCGACCCATTTTTTTTCAAAAAGTAAACAAACAGAAATTCCAGATTCACTAGTCAAAGAAGCAAGTATTTTAATTTAAAAGCACACTGTCTTGTTTTGTTAACAACAATTGGCATGATGTGATGTTCTTGTTTTTGATTAACATCAATACAACGTTTTTTAAAGGCTGTTTAGATATTTGATAGTCGAAAAGACCACGTTTTCGAGTTGACTTGAGGCTTTCTTATTTAGCGGCCCGGCCTTTATCTTTTTTGCCCGACCGACCGACCCACCATCACAAGAGACGGGGCGATGGGAAACGAAACATTTTATTGGGATGGCCTTATACGTTTACGCGATGAGATGCACAACTGGTCCAACACTTACTTATGCAAGAGCGTATATTGTCTTCACCACTCTTCTGAAACTTCCATTCAACGTTTAGTGGGAAACCTTTGGCGGCACACTGAAAAGAAACACTTTCTTCCTTGAATTTGTTCAATTCAGTATCCCCTTGTGGTTTATCAAACCACGGAGCAACTGCAAAAAAGGTAAGAATATCATTTAAGATCATGAACTCTTAGAACTTTCGTATGACCATCGTGAAAACCGTTTCTTAACGTAGCTACCTCTCCCATTTTCTTTAGAGTATTGTTTAGATAATTATCCTTATACTAAAACTATTCATTTCAAACTTCAATCCCTGGTTTTGTTGTTATTGGCTTAGACTTGCTTACACTTCAGATGTACAGCCAATCACATTCCAGATTGGTCAGATCTTTTGCAGGTGAGAATTCATGCGTGAAAATATGTCCCTTCAATGAGGTTTCACCATTCCAACTATGTTCTTATGGTGGAAACTACCAAAGACTAATTGTATACTCACTTGTAATCATAACACCGTCTGATACATTGTAATGTCTTATTCCGCGAAGCGAAACCTCAAGAACACAAGTATAATTTCCACCATCTCTGGCCGCGGCATTTTTTATAACAAGCGGTACGGAAGAGTATCGGTCCGGGTATCCCACGCTTTGCTGTACAACACCATTTTTTAACCATGAAATCCTTTTCAGCTGAGAACTCCACGAGGGGTGAGTGATGTTACAAAAGACTGTGATGCTGTCACCGTGTTGCAGCATGTTGGCTTCAGTCACAGATATCGAAGGAATTTCGTCTCCTAAAATGAAAAATATGTGAGCAATTAAGTAAAATACGATGAAATACGTGAAGTTTAAATATGAATTCATATTTAAGAGGCAGTCTCCCTAAAAGCGTTCCACTCGATTTTGGACTCGAAAAAACTTTCGCCTTATAATTTTACCATCAACACTTCTATCCATCCTAATAACGAAATTGCAGTTAGAATGGGGAAATTGTTTATTTTGCTGCCATTCCCAGCATTTCATTACTGGACGACTGTTAGCGGCTAAAATATGCAAATTTTAGTCTCTGTTATACAGGTTTTTTAACGATCGTTTTATAGTTCTTCAGGTCATCAAATCCTAGACTATTTGCACTCATTTGAAAGCATATTACTTCTTCTTACTGTTCCAATGCCATTTAGGCATTATAGTCCAGCTGTTATCGACCAAAAATATAGCGAATTGTTCACTTTTATGATAAAAGCATGAAACTTTGCCAGATTACAACCGACCCTAAGACTAACATTTCTGGATATGGAGCCAAGCCAAATTCAACACTGAACACGAGTACTGCGCAGGCCCTAAAATGGCCTACATGAAAACGAGGCTGACAGTGGAAATGCTTCTAAGATACCGGTTTTTAAGTGTTTTGGAAAATAAAACTTGTAGATATCGTGGAAAAAGACATTTGCTTTGCTGTCTTTTTTTCTTTGGTGTCACGTGACCCTTTCTTCCAAATATGGCGAAGCCGTTGTTGGGTGTCCTGTGCTGGAGCTGTCTTCTGTGCATTTGTGCGTTTTAAGGGGTGAGAATGGGCACCGATTCACACAATTTTAAATGATAACACTCTTGCAACTATTTTCCAATTATCAAGGGTTGGATTTGTTTTCATACAAATGTCAATTACCACATGAAAACAAGGCAAGAATCTTTTAAACTGTTTGAAAAGCCTCCAGTTAGCGCTGCGTGTGGTCATTTGGGGGTGGATTCAGATAACATCGCATAAAAGCTTGAACTGATCAAAAGTTGTGATTGTATGGCACTCTGGCTGTTGTTTTCCATCTAAATGTAGAGCGCCGCTCAAAAACTAGGCAAAAATCCTTTAGATGAGCTTAAAAGCTAGCCTCCAGTTTCTTGCCTCCACGTTCGGATACTTGATTAAGCTATTTTATTCTCCTTTCAGTTATTAACAAAGTCAATTACAAGGTTCAGAGCTGAATCCAGGAGGTAGCCCGGCCCAAATAGCTCTCCCCCCTTAAGAGTTAAAACAATTTTGTCAACACTAAAACTATAAAAATTACCTAGACTACTTAAATCGTAAAAAACTGCATAAAACCAACTAAAAACGAGATTAAAAAGCACATAAAATCACAGCTTTCTGAAATAAAAATGTCTTTAGTGTCTTTTTAAAAGATGCTACTGAGGGGCTACTCCTAATCGCGTAGGGCAATGAGTTCCATGGTTGAGGAGCAGCAGCAGCAAAAGAAGCGGTGCTTAAAAAATTTCTCAGATAAATTACAATTTAGACACATGAGCTGTAGGCAACTACAATACCACTCGATTGAAAGAGAATTTTCGAATAATTTTCACAAAATTACCATGTATGATTTGCGCATTTCAAGTCGTTGTACTAGACGTGATGCAACACTAAGGCGGTACACTTTGGGTCCAAAGAGCGCTCGTTATCTTATAATAAGGGAAAGTTTAAAATTCAATTATCGACTTCTCGGTTAATGTTTTTCAATTTAGGAAAGTATACCTCATATGAAAGGCTCATAACCAATTATATTGGAAGAACTATAATATGTTAAAATGGTACAGAAATGAAATCCATGGTCGTGTACTCATCTAAGCCGAGAAAAATGTTACAAAAGTTGATAATGTCAACATTTTGTGCATCTATCCAGCCACAGAAAAGTTGACCTTTTATGTGACAAAAAGTTCCAGATCAAAGGAAAATAGCCAAACATCCAACCATTAGAGCTGGTTTCTATCGCTAACTTTACACCCACAAGTGAATTTTCTACTACAGACATCAAAGGGGAGTTAGGAGTGTATCCTCAACAGACCAGTTAATCAGAAACCAATGAAAATGGAAACTACTGAAAAATTTAAAATGCTAAGGATTTGCAGTGGGTAGGAAGAGATGCGTATGGGGTTTTGTGACTTGGGCGGCTTTATTATCCCACTCAACCCTAAGATCATCGTTCTCATAGCAGCCGTATATACAGCATTTTAATCTCTTCCACGAGCCACTTATTTCTGTAGACAGGCTGCTTGGGGTATTTGGCGCCATGTGTAATGACAAAGATTAGTTTCAGCTCATACTCCGCGAGCCTCATATTGTTCAAAATGCTCAGCGGGCAGTTTACCGGTACCAGATGAACAGCAGCTCAGTAATAGAACTGGGTTGAAAAGAAGGGTGTGGCTCATTCATTGCTTATATAACCGCAAGTCATCTTATTCAAAATGACGGTAGGTGCACCAAGTAACGAATCTGTGTATCAATTTATGTGCAAAGCAAAACAGAAACACCCTTCTAAAATCGGTGAAGAATAATAATCGAAACAGTGAAATCTTTCCATGAATAAGAAGATGAGAATTCAAATGGCGAAATAAGATTTTACTAAGGAAATTTATTCCGCATACTTTAAAACTGTGCTGCACACATCCCACCAAACATAAGTTAACGCTCTTGCATCTTGTTTGCATAAACTGAAACAGGCTGACAATTACTTCGTAGTCCAGACATTTCATATTAGTTTGAGTGATCATCAACAGTTAAATCAGAACCCATTCCACCAATGAGGCGATGCTAGTTATTTTAGTTATCCATGTATAGTATGGACACCAAAGAAAATGATGTCAGTGTCACGTGGGCGTTGAGTCCTGATCTAAGCCTGCATTGGTGTTGAGATCCCTGACATCATTTGCCAACTGAATGAATGTAATCGAAAAATTTGTGGGATATGTTTCTTGAAAGAGAAATTAAGGACAATCGATTTTCACGTAATCAATGCAAATTCAAGCACAGTGAGATACACAAGCCCATTTGATTATCGTAGATCCCACCACGTCGAACAGACATTTTTTACCTTGCGTTTGCGTTAGCCTGCGAGCAAGCTCTCTCGATTAACACCCCCTCCCTCTTGCGCCTCCTTTTGAGTGCAGTTTACACGTGACGTTTCACGATAGCCCCAAATAGACAGCTAGATCGTAGGCTGCACTTGTTTTTTCCTGGTTGACAAGCGTTAAGTGCAAACAAAAGCGATTGGGGAAAGAGTTAGTTCAATTGTTTTTTTCGGCTTGCACTTGCGTTTGTTTGTCCAGCCCTCGTGATCTTCAATAAAACGAGGCAAGAAGTGAAAAAGAAGACAAAGTGACCTTCATAGTGTTTCCTCAACTCGAGTAGTGCTCATGCAACATACCTGTCGAGCAGTGTATGAATGGGATATGTGTAGGGAACAACACTTCTGGGGCATACAAGTCTAAAGGTTTTAACTTTGACTAAGGGGTATATCGAGGCAGTCTGTGGCTATGAACTCATTAAATGAAATAAAAACTGCTTCTTTGGGACGGTGTCGATTCACCATTGGCAAAACTGGTGTACAACCTACTCTTAAGATACAGTGATTATCTTGAGGATACAACTACAGGAAGGGGGGCTCTTCAATTCCTTCAATATGGCATATTTAAGGAAAAAGTCTATGTCATGTGACTTTCGATTGTCATCTGTGGCGAAAAAAACTCTACAAAAACGCCATGCGATCACAATTTTTGATCAGTTCAGGCTTTTAGGCAATGGTGTATGAATCCAACTCAAGATGACTGCACGCACGGCTAATTGGAGGCTTTTCAAACCGCTGAAAATATTTTTGCCTCGTTTTCATGTAATGATTTGCATTTGTATGGTAAAAAACAGCCTTTGATAATTGGAAAATAGTTGCAAGAGTGTTATCATTTGAACTTGCCTGAAAAGGTGCCCCTTCTCACCCCTTTAAACACACAAATGCACAGAAGGCAGCTTCAGCACAGGACACCCAACAATAGCCCGCCATATTTGGAAGGAGGGGTCACGTGACACCAAAGAAAACATGACAGTAAAGCAAATCTCTTCTTCCACAATATCTACAACTTTTATTTACAGAAACACTCAAAAATGGTATTTTAGAAGGATTTCCACTAACAGCCTCGTTTTCATGTAGGCCATTTTAGGGCCTGCGCAGTGCTTGTGTCCAGTGTTGCATTTGGCTTGGCTCCATATTCAAAAATGTTAGTCTTAGGGTTGGTTGTAATCTGGCAAAGTTTCATGCTTTTATCATAAAAGTGAACAATTTTGGTCGATAACAGCTGGACTATTATCTTTCTGTAATCAGCAAAAACTGGTCGTCTTTATTTCACTAATCCAATTAAGAAAGCAAACTGCACGAAAAAGTGCCTCAAAATCATCAGAAAATTCTCAAAAGTGGCACCTAAACTAGACCTAAAAACATGTCTTAGTTAAAGATTAATAGCTATGTTGTCAAGTTATGAAATAAAACTTGGGGCACAACGCGATTCAGAATTGAAGGTCTCAATTCAAATTTTAAATAGGCAAATGTTCAATTTGCGTTGCGTGACGAACCGGCTGCTGTCACAGCAAAATCCTCAGTTATTCAAATACTTCCCGCTTTTAAGTAAGATATGCCTCATTTTCCCACCAAAACCATATTAAAATTCCCTTTTTCCCTTTGCCAATGATATATATTGTCCAAAAGTTAGTTCAGCAAGTAAAAGATACCTTTCCAAGCTTCATTTAATTTCCCACTGCCCCAAACATTCAAGTCTGTTATGTCAAGACGGAAAAATACCTTTTCATAACCAAACCTCTTCTAGCTTAAAATGTGGTCCAGTCTGAAAAAGCTGTATTGATCAGAAATTAATCGGATCCATCACATTTTAAAATCGAACGTTAGAAGAAGAATAAATTTCCCACTGCTTAATTAAGTATGCATGAACAGGGCAGAAAATGTTTGACTAGTACTTTGCCCCATGTAAGGGTATCGGGATTCCGGAATCTGGAAAATTTTGCTTGCGGAATCCGGAATTCAGGGCTTTGGAATCCAGAATAGAGCTCAAGTACCCCACTAAGGAATGAAATCTAGAATCCAAGTTCCACTGGAAAAGACTGGAATCCAGCACCCGGAATCCAGAATACACGGAATGGGACCAGAATCCAAGACTGTCTTGTATTCTCTAACGTGGGGCGACAGCACTGGACTGTGAACGGCGAATTACTATTTTTCCTTTGTTTACCTTCCACTGATCAGGAGCCCACATTTGAAGACCTTTGTTAATGAAATTTCAGTTAGAAGGTTTGTTCCTTTTACTGACTGTTTCTTCCTATTAAGAGTGGCCAGCTTTTGTTTTCACGCTCCAAGAGACAGTCCGGAGTCCAAGGTTAGTTTTGTATCGAAGCCAGTTAATAAAGAAGTTGAGACACGCAAATAATAAAGTTTCAACATTTATAGTTTCGAATCGTGCAACATCAGTGAAAGTAACATGAAAATAAAGTGCGGAAGTTCACGCGGTTTTTCCTGACTGATAAAAGTACACGAATGTCAGGACACCATTACTTCTCACCATGAAACCTGTCATCCATCGAAGTCTGAACTAAGAGAAGCAGAGCCAATGCTGTCAAAAGATGGTAATCATTGACCTTACTAAAAATCAAGTAGAACAGGTGGTGATCTGCTTCCCTAGGAGGACTCCCATACAAAAGTGACGTGGGTGCTCGTCGTTTGCAGAATTTTGGTCTCACTTCGGTTGTTTGGGACAGAAAGTAACTAAATATGCTCATTCAGGTGTCGCTTAGGGCTGTGCATAAAGAAATTTGCAAAAAAAGAAAAAGCCGTGACGCTGACCTGACAGAAATCTCCTTTAGGGGTAAGTTAAAGCTTGAGCCACACCCACATTGGCCTCCCTTGGGGGTTTAAATTGATTTTCCGAAGAGCAGCCCCTTCACTTTTATATGGGAGTCCTCCCGGGGATTACCCAAAAATATCGCATATAAACTCGGACGATATTGGCGGCCACCTCGTTCTTCGCATAGAGGACCAAGAAAGCAATATTAGGACCAAGGACAGGCATGTAATTGGTTTGGAGATTGCGAAGATCGTTTACCATCTATTTTAAAGGATGGGATCACGTACGTAAAATATCGTAAAATCATTTCTAATATCCTTATCACTAGTTCCTTAGGGCCGATGGGTATTGTTGTAATCGTAATTTCAGGTTCAGACAATGATAAACTCAGTAGTCCACTCAATTATTTTATTTAGAAATATGCGGGAAGTGAAGATCCAAACATAATGAAGTTATGGAGAAAAGTAGGAAAAGGCTTTACGTCAAATATCCTGACATTAATCACTGTTGCACTATGGCATAAAATTACACGGTCAGCTGATGCACTTGCACATTTGATATCATTTATGAGCTGACGGATTTGAATATCACAAGATACACGCGTGAAACAGAAAGTGACAAGCGCATCCTTTGATAATCTAAACCTTGTGGAGTCGAAGTTACATGAATTGTCAAAATCGTGATTACCTACCTTTAGGCATTACTGAGAGCACTCATAACAATTGTTTGGTACAATGGAGAATTCACCGACAGAATTTTCTATTGAAGCCCAACGTGGACAAAAACCTCTGAATTCGAACGATTAGTAGAGGTGAGAACTGACGCGAAGTCTGAATCCGGCATTATCAAAGACTTCCCCAGTATGAACATTTCTCCAGGTCGAGATCCCTACACTGTTTTTACGTCTTTTCTCGTCTCACGTCTTGTTAGCGGTTATTACCCTGTTCTTACAGACGCTTTCATTCTACCACGTTAATGTTGTAAAAATACATACATCTGAACAACAGCTGAAGGATCTAGGATCACATTTTTAAAACTTGGCCTTTGGACCCTCCGTGTGGATCCAAATTCATATTGATATCGATTTTACTAAATTAGGGGCCACCGCGTTTATCATTTCGTTTTTGCGACTCCGGTGCAAAGCTCATTTGATAGCGGAGCTCCACCCGCGCGCGAAGCGCGCGTGTGGACGGAGCTCCATAGCTAAGGAAATGTGGTAATCTACCCATCCGAGAAAATTTGGTAATCACGTGACCGTACGCCCGACCGTCCGTCCGCACCACAGGGAAACCAATGTTTTCTATCACACTTTCTAGCTAGTTTGGGAGCCCAATAGAAAACTAATTGTACATCAATGTTGTGATCAATTGACAGCTGTCAAAACAGGATATCCGCTGACCAGTGTCACCTGACCGTACCGCAGGCTCAAGTGTCGACCCATCGAGATCGAGTACTTTTTTGAAGTTATCCGCTGACAAATTGTCAGTTTCAAATGATCGCAGGCTCAAGTCTATTTTTTCCAATGATTCATATGAAATATGTTGTGTTTATGTCACTATGGCCCCGCACTGTCAAGATTTTGATTTCAAACTGACCTCGGACGCGAAAATTCAGCCACTTTTTTAAAAATAAAGGCGGGGAAGACCTTTTCTTACCATGGTCACGCGTTGGTCACGCTCTACGTCCAATTTTTGTACTCTGATTGGTCAAAATTTGACAGGTGAGTTCACGCGGAAAATTTATGCAGCATCTTGAAAGTTGTTTACTTTGACAGCTAAAGCTGACAGAGTTTTGTGTCAACTTGTGATGTTTTTAACTGTCTTTTTCCACTGGATGTACAAAATGAAATACAGCTGCCATCAAGAGTCTTCTGTTATCCATGGCTGGTTTGTTTATTGGGTTTTTGGTTGAGAAATGCGTCGCTTGTCAAAATTGGGTAATCCGATTTCGGATGGCATCGTTTTCGTCTTTCACCTTGCTCAATGCGTAAGAGGGTTTAAAAGTCTCAAGCAACTATGGCCTTCCTTGATATCTTTCAGGAACTGAATCTCGAATGGTAAGCCTGAGTAATTATTGTATTTGATGTTTGTTTTTGTTATATCTAATTTCATGTAGTCGAGCTCAGTTTATGCGGCAAGTTTTTGTACGTTTGTTAAGATTTGAGTCAATGATCTGATCTAGTATCGATCAGGTTTGATATAAGCTTACAGAACTTTAAAAGGCCTTCAGATTTTTTTTCACGGCAAATAGAAAAAAAAACGTTCCGAAGAATATTTAGTTATAAATTTGGCTGTAGAAAGAAAACTTTGAGTGATTTTCTTGCTTCGAGGAGTTCATCTTTGAAAAAAAAAAAACAAACACCGGGAGGCCGGCTGAAAGTAAAACAAAATAAACTTAAGCTTAAGCTTTAAGCTTAAAGACTCAGGATTTTTAGAGACACTTTAATACTTGTCTTCGTGAAGGAAAATTGTTGTCTCTGTAAATGTTTTACCGAATTATATTTCTTTTATTGATTGTTAGTAGTTTCTCTTGCAATTTTAATCGCTTGTCCGTGGTGTTTGTTTTCATCATTCATGAACATCGCTTGCAGGAGTATCTGAAGAAATGTCGCGCGTATCAAACCCTTTATAAGATTACACATCGTTATAACTGGAACCATTAAATAACAAAGAGTAATGATAATAAATTCGTTATTATGTTGAAGCGTATTTCCATTAAAGTTCATTCAAACACTCGACCACACTGACAGCTCGCACTAAAAATGAGAACCGGCTGGCCGTATGGGTGTTTTTTGAAATTTTTTGAACGGTTTCGCTAAAAGCCCACGATTGATCGTCCTGGACATTGAAAAATGTGAAATGCCGTATTCTGTCCGAGGTCTGTATGACAAAAAGTACTGTTTCACCTCAGATGTGACGTATAAAAAGTATAAAAGGTTGGTTTACACACCCTCAGATTTGTTGGCAAGGATTTGTAAAGTAAACCTGTCGAACGCAAAAAAATGCGGCCTGATTTGTTTTCCAAGAATTTGTTTTCGAGGCCTAAACTACTGTGATCAAGAGCCATTATGGCTCTTGAATGTGATAGAAGATGTTTGCTATTTTTTGGGTGTACATATATTTAGGCTATCGACTCGATGTAAGATGTTTCACTCTAAAATAACTTATCCTTTCCCTCAAAAGTCTCATGAATGTGCCCTTAAGTTAACTGATTTGTGGATTACAAGTTTATTGTTTGATTTAAAATATAAATTTATTAATGGGAGCTTCGCTTTTAGCCCTGGCTAAATCTATATATTACACCAGGGTACCGCGGATAATGTTGTTGAGCCACTCAGAGAGGATCTTATTGCTTTTATGTCTCAGCATACCGAGATGCTATGACAAAGAATATAAAAACTCAAATACTTCACAAATCTTATGAAAAAAATACAAAAATAATAAAAAAACGAGCGAGATTGCATGAGAGGAAACGAAGATCTGGTACAAATTTCCCTAAAATAGTCAAAGATAAATCCCCTAGTTGTTCAAAGCTTAACAACTTGACAGGCTAACGGTTTTATTTAGTGGTGGTATAAACAGGTTACAACCGAACACTGTCAGACTACTCATTCACTTCACTCACTGTCCATCGCGGAATTGATGATAGCATACAGCATTACCAGCATAGCACTGGTAATTTGTGATCGAAGGTCGGTAGATTTATACATCTAAAAATTTTCAATACTACTGTCAAATTCCTAAAGGTATCCGGACACTAACTTAATTCAATGTACATTTCACAGCTGATTTCATTTTTTTAAAGGGAAAATAACAATTTACTTGATAAGAATTTATAAGTACGAGACTTATTGTGGCGTAGACGTGATTAGCGGGTTGTTGATTTTACTTCTTTGAACTCCAGTCCATATATTTTTTCTTAATTTTTCTTCAAGGACTACCGTGTACCATCGTCTCATATATAAAGTGTAAAGGTGAATGTGTGAAGGACTTTCTCGCTGCAAAATGTAAATACTTCCACCTGTCACTAGACAGGAGAAACGTGGTTCTCGTTAATGTTATCTGTAAAACAAAAATGTTCGTTTAAAACCCGATTGAAGTATGTCGAATAGCCTCTTCCAGGCGTTCAGACTGTGGGGGCGACTCTTCGAGAGATGCGAGTAAGAAAAGGGCGAAGGGGTGGGGTAGGGAGTAATGCGTATTTTCCCGACCCACCCTACTACCAAGAAGGTCAACTACTGGGAGTCGAACAAAGGACGGCCGGCCGAGACTATTAATACGAAGGTCAGTGGAAAAGTAGACTTAATCTTCTTTAAGCTTGACCTATTTCCGATTTTTCTTGTTAATAAAGTAAACAAAAAAAAAACAGAAAAGTTGTCATTTGTAGGATTATGAAGAATTTTTTTACAATCACAGCGGCCGGTGTCACGCAATGCGAATTCAGCATCAATATGCAAATTCAATACGCAAGTCGAATCCTTCAATTCTGAATCGCATTGTGCCAAGAGTTTTATTTCATAACTTGACAAAATAGCTCTTAATCTATAACTAAAACATGTTGTTAGGTCTAGTTGAGGTGCCACTTTTGAGAATTTTGTCAAGTTTTTGAGGCATTTTTTCGTGCATTTTGCTTTCTTAACTGGGTTAGTGAAATAAAGAAGACCAGTTTTTGCTGGTTAGAGAAAGACAATGCCTAAATGGTATTGGAACAGTAAAAAGAAGTAATATGCTTCCAAATGAGTGCGAACAGTCTAGGATTTGATGACCCGAAGTACTTATAAACGATCGTTAAAAAAACCTCTAAAACGGCATCTAAAATTTGCATATTTTAGCCGCTAACGGTCGTCCAGCAATGAAATGCTGGGAATGGCAGTAAAATAAACAATTTCCTCATTCTAACTGCAATTTCGTTATTAGGATGGATAGTAGTGTTGATGATAAAAATATAAGGCAAAAGTTTTTTCGAGTCCGAAATCGAGTGGAACACTTTTAGGGAGACTGCCTCCTAATACGGCTCGGCCATCGGCCAGCTTTAAAATGGCGTTTAGCAGCAGCATGTCTACGGAAAATTGCTTTAAATAAATTCTTATGATAATCAGGGAGTCACATGACATTGCGTCGTTTAAGCGATCTCTTAAAGCTCGCATGGTGTAGGGCTTGTAAATTCTGTAAATAGCCATAATTTTAGATTCTACTTTTAGCCAATTTGTTGATCTATTTATAGTAACTATTTTAATGGTAGTAATGTATACTTTTACATTTTTTTTAATTTTGCACAAACGTACACGTTTTAACGTCATCTTTGCAATTGGTGCTCCTGGGTGTTATGTGTCTCAATAAAGGATTTGCAATTGATTTTGATTTGATTTGATTTTGCTTTCATTTGTGTGTCTGCCGAATTGGGGCAGTTTTCGACAGGGAAGCAAACAATACCGGTTCGATTCACGGTTGAGAAGATTTTTTTTCATATTTGCTTTCTATTAGCTTTTTTCCCCTTTATTTCTCCTGCCTCGCGAGGTTTTGCGTTACTCGTTTCTAGATTTAAGACAGGGGCACACAACGACGAATACTTTGAAAACACCCTTTAGGTTATCCATAGTACTCTTAAATCTCTAGAAATGCATTCTAAGCCGCGCTGTAAAATTTGTGTCTGTTCGGTCATCCTAGAGGGACTTGGGCCTTTTCGAAGTTACAAGGGCCTCAGTATTATGTTCCCGAAAACTTGTACAGGTAATAACATGATTTGTAGTGATATTTGCCATAAATATCACGAGTGATATTTCAAAATTGTTATACGTAACGTTGAGACAATTTTGAAATATCACAAGTGGTCTTCATGCCAAACATTTCAGTTGAGAGAGGATTCTTCTCCTCTAAATTAAGGCATGCTGGAATTATCCCCATTTTCATGGTGATGAAACTGACCCGTGTAATTATCGGCCTATTTCTCTTCTTTCAGTCTTCAATGGAATCTTTGAAAAGATTATGTATGATCGTCTAAAACAATTTTTAAACAAACATAGTATATTTTACAACTATCAATATGGTTTTCGTGAAAGATGTTCAACGCAACATGCCATCTTAGACATTGTAAATAGAATTCAAAGAAACATGGACAAGGGCATGTTTTCATGAGGGGCTGTCATCGATCTGCAAATGGCATTTGATGCAGTTGATTATCATATCCTACTTCATAAGCTGTCTCATTACGGAATTCGTGGTGTAATCAATAAATGGTTTTGTTCATACTTAAATGGAAGAAACCAAACCACTCATGCCGGTTCCTATATTTCTAAAAGAGAGAAACGTCTTGTGGTGTGCCACAAGATTCTGTTTTGGGCCCTCTATTGTTTCTGATTTATATTAATGACATTTAAACGGCTTCAAACAAACTAGGATTTTACTTATTTGCTTACGATAAAATTTGTTGTATGCTGATAGGTGCTGTGACTGGCTAAGCGCAAATAAACTATCCACAAATATAAAGAAACTACTTATTTCGTTATCTTTTACCCATATCAAAAACGTCTATATTATGAAGTTAAACTAAAGATATATGACAACCAAATAAATAGATTGATAAGTATATAACGTAAGTCATATGTTAAGTACCTAGGGGTCCTGATGGATAGTAACCTTTGTTGGAAATATCATATCAGCCACATATATAGCGTCTAACATTAGTAGCGGAGCTCCCGCGCGCGCGCAGCGGAGCACCATGGGTAAGAAAATTTGGTTATGACGTAGCGTACGCCCGTCCGTACACACACTTCATGTAAGCCGATGTCAAATGTCACAATAGATCTTGCACAACTTGACTAGCCTTTTAGTTACGTAAGCCATCCGTATGAGTACGATTAGATTGACAGCTGTCAAAATCAGACATCCGCTGACAATTATCACATGAAAGTTTCGCGGGTTGTCCGTTTGATGAATTTTGCAAAGTTTAGTGTTCACGCTGTTACACTTTTTATCTCCACCAATATTTTGCCTTTACCCTTACTCTACTTTAAAAATTGCTCTATCTTAATGCATGATGTCTATAACAAAGTCGTGCCATCTAACAGTTCTAATCTTTTTACCCCTACTAAAGGTGTTCATCATCACAACACCTGTTCTTCTACCGCTGGTGATGTCTATATAAACAACTCTCGACTAATTCCGGCACTACAAGAACTCTTCTTCCATTATGGGCGCAAATATTTGGAACAGTGTATTCCAGATGTTATGAAACAGCTCCCAAAATACAGACTCAAGAAAAAAATTATTGAATCCTTACTTCAAATCTTCTTAAAAACAGGATTCTTATCTTGATATAGATACGTTTATAAACGAAATGAAAAGAATTTAAACTTTTCTTTTGTTAATAAAAAGGATTTAAATTTTGCTTGTTTCTATTTATCTTCAAGTTTTCTATCCCTCCTCTAGCCGTTTGTAATTATTGTATTTTGAATTCATTATAAATTAATTGTAATTAATCGCGTCTGTAATTTCGTAATTATCGAATATCTTGTATCTTTATGTCATTAGAATAATATATTTTGAATTCATTATTGTAATTAATCTCTGTAATTCCGTAATTATTGTATATCTTTATTTCATTAGAATAATTTTGTATATTGGGTAATAGACACGTCTCCATACTACCTGCCTCTATTAGCGCCGCTATTTTGCAGGTAGTCTGTATTTGTAATTTATTTATTGTGAATGTAAACAAATAAAAGCTTGAGTGTGGTAATATCACGTACAAATCATGCTATTATTTGTTTATACTACTACCTATAAAAGGTTTGTAATTTTCACATGTAGGTATCTCAAATTAAGCTGAAATACCACTGCTCTAAGCCAATCAAATTGCAGAAATTTCTCGTGTAGTAGTATAATAGATGTAATTTGTATAGGTAATAGCATTAATTGTAGTGATATTTGGCATAAATACCACTTTGTGATATTTCGAAATTGTAATACGTAATTTCACGAGACTTTAGGCGAGTGAAATATGACACAATTTTGAAAGATCACGAGTGGTATTTATGCCAAATATCACGTACAAATTATGCTATTATTTGTTTTTACTACTACCCGCAAAAAGGTTTGTAATTTTCATATGTAGGTATTTCAAATTAAGTTGAAATACCACTGCTCTAAGTCAATCAAATTGCAAAAATTTCAAGTAAAACTTATAACGGAAGTGAGAATTTTTCTGATTCCTCTCTCCATCACATCTTTTAATCCTTTTTCTAAGAAAAATAACCTAACTTAGGGAGAGAAATGTGAAAATTAAACTTCAGAAAATCGTAGGCAATTTATTAGATAAGCTTCAAAAATTGTACATGCATTGAACCGTCATGTAGAAATGTTTAGCCGTCCTCAAGTTAAAGAAAATTCTGGTCAATGTTTACTTCTCCGAACAGATATTTTACAGAAAACAGTCATTGGGTGTCCTATTCATGTTAAGATTAAACTTACTCGAAATGACGTTCATACTGAAACCATGCTTGCGTTCTATGGGTGATCCAACGGCAAAAGCGTGACATTCGTACCTTCCCAATCGACCAAACGTACTATCGTACTCTAACGTTACATTCCGTATGTGCATCGTGACAAAGAGCTTCTTTATCTTCTTTCCATCTGTAGAAGTGTTGGGAATCTTAGTAGGTTACATAATTATATGCACATCGTCGAATAGCTTGCATGTTTGTCATTGTATTATTTCAGGATAAGGTATACAAAAAACTTGACAGATTCCTAACAGTGTAATAGCAATACGCCATTTCCGAGTTGCTCAAAGCCTCAAAGCGAGACTAACTGCGAAGCCATTGATTTCGGAAAATGATTTTTCATTCTTGTGCAAATAAAACTCATTTTCTCAAGGTTTTGTTCTTAGCCTCGTTTTGAACGTGAGAGTTTATGGCGCGCGGACATGGCCAATTTAAAGATACGTGTTCCCCTCATGACTAAGGAATGCTGGGTAAAACCTGATGATTGCTAAGACAACTTGCCGCTCTTTGGTTGACGGAAGACGGTGACGTTGGAACGAAGGCTAATTTAGATCACTAATGTAAAGCGCGCTTTCTCGTTGTGTAAAAGCGGTCTAATATCAAATATAAAATGGGATATTCAGTTCCAATACTTACAGTCACTTTTAGGTTTTATTTTTATAAGACATCGGCTTACCCTTGTCCACTTCCTCGGTTCGGTGTGTGAAATATACGTTGTCATTAGCAGTTATCTTTGTATAACGCGCAAACTTGTCCTTCCTCATGAACTGTATCCTTTCAGGAGTTTTTATTCCAGCTGAATCAAAGGCTACACAGGTAACCTGGGCAGAAGTGAACTCAATTGGATAAATATTTGGAGGAAATGGCTCACCAATCCCAAAAGTGTCGCGATCGAAAGCTGGGGGAGAAAAAAAGCAAAAACTTTATATCAGACTGATGCGTTTTGACTTTAGAGCGAATTTCTCTATTTATTCGGATATTTGTTATGATCATCCTTTGTATCTGTAGCTAGTTTAAAGTGCTCCAAATTTCTACTCATTACCACTCAGATAAAAACTTTTACTTCTTTGTCCCTGAATATTGGACGGTGATTTATGAGATCGAAATCCTTTAACTCGTTCCATGGCCCTCTCGGAGCCCTCTGTCTTCATGAAGCTTGTCACGTCTTATATATCCGACTGATGGGGGGGAAAAACAGGAATTCATAACTTATACCCTCTCTATTAAAAAGTCGGGAAGTATAAACTAAGCAAGCAATTGAAATTTCTTTGCATTTCAAATGCTTGATCCGTATTTGAAGCAAATTACTTGGAAAATGCACGGTACCGCTAAGTGCGCCCTTTCCCGTTAATAAAACACAGCTAACTGTTCGGGACTGTTTAAGATTTTGACAAGCAGCGAAATAAACTGTAGCGAAACGACCAGAAACGAAAAGAAACGTTTCTAAAATAGGCAAGATAATGAAGAGAAAAAAAAAAGAAAACTTGACTGTTTGATGTTTTTTCTTTTTCGAGTGTGAGTGGGTCCTTCACCAAGAAGTGGAAACATGAGCGAACGTTAAAGGAGACATGTTCTTTTTAGTTTTCTATATAGCTTTTGCGCTCGATGATTTTTTGCCTTTAAAGTGTAAAAGTGCTTTCATTTGAAAATGGTGCGGACTGACGGACCCGTAGAACTTATTTTAGTGAATACTCCTGATAATATGTCAAAATAGCAACGTTGGTAAGATTAGAAGGACTTTACTTAAACGGTTTTCACAAGTTTCTCTATAGTTTGAACGTGGTCAAAATGAGCTTCTTATGAACTACAGCTGTAGAGAGAAGATCTGGGAACAAGGTTGAACAAATTTATTTAGTGCATTACACAGTGGAATAATGAGTTCCAAACCTACTCGGGAAAAGAAAATTGTTTCGAATTATTGAAAGGTTCTAAAAAATGAAGGGGGAAAATTACATAGTTTGAATTGAAAAGGCAATTCAGTCTTGTTCGAAATATCGGGAGGTTCGAGGAACCGTCAGGGTTACAGGGAATCGGGATTGTGCTCTTAATGTATACTTCGGTGTGTTCGAGCACGGCACCTTACCATACAATCCCTTCACAGAAACCATCAAAATTCCGAGCGCAACCATTACACACCTCATTGGAGAATTCATTATGTCTGAAATCAGAAAGAGAAAACACTAGTTCAGCGAATTATAATCACCTCTTGTTTTGCAAAATGACATCAGAAAAAATACGCTTTGTACAAACCTCAATTTTCACCCTAGCGTAAACCAGCATCAAGTGAAAATCAGTGACAAACGTGCAATGGTAAAAGTGCCGATATATTTTATCAGTTTAATTTGCATTATTATTGGACTGTCTACATATTTTGTGAAACGGAGAACACTCACTGTTAAATATTTCGGTAGATCTGTCTACTTAAACGTACAAAGGCATTGAACTAGCTCTTGAATCGTGTCAATCAACGCTTTACTTTGAGGATGCACTTGTTAAAATGCAATATTGGCAAAAGACAATCTTGTAAGTCTCAAAGCCAATTAAAACGGCCCGTAAATTAACAAAGACTGAACAATTGCGTACCGTCATTCTCCAAAAGCCAAAGCTTTCCTATAAAATGCAGTTCTCATTTTTAAAGTTTTAACTTTCCAGAATTTTGTAAAACGAAAGTTCTGTTACAAAGCAATCCGAAATTCGTGATTCCTCCAGACTGGAAGCCAATCTAAGGAAGATTAACAAAAGATAATCTTGTATTTTGCTTGTCAGAAAACTGTGCGCAACCTAATATTATTTTGACTTTAAGATATAGATAGATAATAAACTTTATAAAATAATTGAGATAGTACGCGTGATCTGATTGGTCAAAAACCTATGGTTTATTATACCGGTAAACCCATAGAAAAAGGCATCCGGACCACGAGCCATAAACAAAACCCGCTACTGATCTGCAAACAACGATTTTAGAAAGGCTAAAAAACAAAACAAGTTACTTACCGTAGCCCTTCTTAATATTAAAAGCAATTTTTATTACCGAGGGTCACAATTTGTGACTGCCATAGTTTTAGACGTTATAAAGAACAAAGCTGGAAAGCAGTTTACATTTCACGACGATGCCAAATCGCAGAGAAAGACAACAACTGTGTGAATTTCTGGTGTAGAAAGTCTCTAGGAAAACTTAACCATGTGCCAACCAGCATCAAAACGGATAGTTTTAGCATTCTTGATTTATTTTATGTCAAAATTAAATTCCTTAATGAAAGAAATTGTTCCAAAAAGAGATCTCTGATCAAGATATGGTACAAAATCCGCCGCTGTAGGTTGTAAACAAGCTGCCAACGATGATGAAAGATGTCAGAGTTTCGGGCTGGTTTTTTCCAACATTTGCACAAATTATTCGGTGATATCGATGCCATAACCTACTTCAAACCACCTGACTTCACAAGTCGACAAATATTAGCGCCAATATGTTGCTACGGCAAAGAAACCTTTCTTCACCACTGACGTATTTCCATCGGTCGCTGTACGAGCATATAAAGTTACATGCGACAACTTCGCAAATGCAGCCACGTCGTCACCGCAGCATTTCTTGACCATAATAAAGTCCAGAAAACAGATCTTAAACCACTGCGGCTTGTAAAAAGTGAATGAAGTCCTCCATTACAATAGCTGCCAGTTCCGTCTGTAAGCACGAAATTTTACGGATCGACTCAACAAAATACAGCTGCGTACAGTCTGATGTTCAATTAATTTCTACTTCTGTAGTAAACAAACCATGAACGTCTTCTTTCATTGTACGTTCACATGAATATGTGTTGACTTTTCCTGTAAAACAGCCTTCATAAGTTATCATGTAATGAGCGCAAAAACTCGTGTTTTGAAGTGCTGTTGTTTGTTGTTTGACTGAACTGAGTTTTGAGAAAGTTCAGCCCTATTAAATCGTGAGTCATGATTGGCTTATGATGACTTTGGAGAGAAGACATGACTTGATCACGGTACTAAAAGCATATTTTCTTACCTAAAAGACTCCATTCTACTAAACGTTATTTTATAAAAGTAATAGACCACACTTTCTATGGGTTTACCGGCGTGATAACCCACTTGGGATGTTGGGAGAACACTCGAAAAGCTTGTAAATCACTCGCCTTCGGCTCGTGATTTACAAGCTTTTCTCGTGTTCTCCCAACATCCCGCGTGGGTTATCACGCCGGTAAACCCATAGAAAGTGTGGTCTATTGCTTAAATAGTCAAAACTTTTTCCCCCGAGCTTCTTAGGTGAATTATGTTCTGGGCAAGGCTTACTGAATAAATCGCAACGCCGTCTTCCGACAGGGTTACGGAGGTACCTTATTCTTACTTGGCTAGAACGACACTTGTGTACCTGTGTGTTCGGATAGAAGGATGACGTCAATGAATTCAAAAGCAGTCCTAAGTAACCCAATTTTGTTCGTCTTGCCTTTCAGGCAGGAATAAAACTTAAGGGAATTGTATGAATACGATGTGTTGTGTTTTGTCTCCCAAAGCCTTTAACGCAGTTATCGTGTCGCTCTCTGAGAGAACTGAGCTCCAGTAAGGAGCTAAAAATTATGCTCAAGATTTAGACAATCCGTGCGCACGGATTTTTATGTTCTTGGTCCAGAAGGAGTGGCGGAATAAGTAATGTGGTTCTGCCAGTTTTCTTTAAATCAAATTTGCTTCAGTTTTTATTAGCTAGTGGGTATGCCAACTTATGATGATAATAATAAGGTTGAAACAAAAGGAAAATAAATTTTTATCGAAGACAAAAACTGAATCAAAACATACACTATCCTCTTAAGTGAAGCGAGGAAAAGTGGGGCCTCAGCGAAAAGAGAAAATTTGTACCGTCCTAATAAAGTAACTTTCAAACATTTGCGATGTACATTTTCTCGAAGCAATCGCACCCTGACATTGTGTAGAAACATCTCGCGAGACACGCGTAGAGTTAACTCTCTCTAAGCGTTCACCTCCAAGCCCCAAACACTTTCCTAAAAAGGGCAGGTTGAGTCCCTGTTGTTGTTGTTGGTTTCTGTCCCGGTACCAACGGTTTCCGTCTCATAAACAGTTGACAGTATTTGTGTCATTAAAAATAAAGCTGGAGAACGTTTTTTAAATACCATGTAACTTAGCCCTTGCTAACCGATGACTGCTTGTATGTTCTTAGACGAATTTAACCCCAGTGTGAAAAGTTCTGACCAAACAATTTAAGGCCTCCTAGAAAAACCGGTAAGGGCGGAATTGAAGATGACCTCTCCTGGAGCACACACCCAAGAAAGGTTCTACAAGGTGAATGACACTGAAGAAAATAAAGATGAACAATAAGGGCTCAATAAGGAACTTTGTTTCAGATAATTTACCCCATTTTTTGCATATTTTTCTATAAATACTAATTTGGTATGCAGGTAATTTTTATTAAAGGAATAAGCTGTATACAGGCATTAAATACTCTAAGCTACAATTTATTTTTTTCTTCAAAAAATAAGAACCTATTTAAGAACCTAAATAGCCTAAATTTGTGCTAATTAACATTAACGTGAGAACCTGTTTAGGCTAACTTAGGAATATGCAGGTTCTTACTCGCGGGTTATTAAAATAACAACAGTATTTACCATCTGTATTTCCTTGTATATGGGTACAAATTTCGTTCTTCCTAGCTATTGTTTCCAAAGACACTTCGGTATTGCATTGTGTGACCTCTATTTGCACTACGTAGACTGTTAATGCTTTCCTAATTCACCAATCAGAAACGTTCGGTTGAATATATTATAAATCCTCTGATTATAAATGAAGTATTATCATCAAAAGAAGCTTATCATTGCTAGAAGGTTGTGACACCATGCCGTATAACAACACTTCCTTTTTTAATGTTTGATGGTTAATTTTTTCTTACCAAATATTGATATCTTGGAGACTAATATTAATTTTACTCCTTCAAGCTTTCCCATCATCTACGCGTTCCATTTTCAAGAGAGTAAAAGTTTTATTAGTTATAACCAAACAGAGTTGCTTTCAAATTTTCGTAGGTACCGTATTTATTCGAATAAGCGCCTAACCTCGAATTAGCGCCCACCTCGAATAAGCGCCCATCCTAAAGGCAGGACTAAAAGTTAATAAGCGCCTAGCCTCGAATAAGCGCCCACTCCCACCCCACATCCTATCCCCTCACATCCCTCAAAATTGAATGAGTACTAATAAGATACTTCCCCGAAGACGGAGTTTTGTTCAGAGTATTTTACAGAAACCTTGCTTTGTTACATCTTGGCGTTTGTTTTTACTATTTATTGTTTTGTTGCAAAATAAACATACTACACTTGCTGAAAATGTTGAAAATTTAATACGGCCCAGCCTCGAATAAGCGTTCACCTCCAATAAGCGCCCACTGTCAAGGTCCAAAAATTTAATAAGCGCCCAGGGCGGTTAATCGAATAAATATGGTAATTTCTTCGTATGTGTGACGACTGCCCGCTTGGGGATAAGGTTAAGGGGTTCGGAATTCACGTCCACTTTCCTCTCTCTCACATCACCGTAAGACAATAAGTATCACCTTTTTTTACTTATTTAGAACCCCCCTCCCCTTGCCACAAAAAAGGGAGGAAGAAACCCCAATAGTCAAATCTACTCTCCTCCTGATAGCGGTATCCAGTTATAACATAATAATGGAATAAGCATCGAAAGTGGATTGCATAAATAAACAGAAATATTGAAAGAATATGTTTTATTACTGAATCCTCCGTCAAAAACTCCAAAAAAAAACATTGGCTGAAAACCTCCTGACAATCTCAAACTTCATTTGATGATGATATTCCATTTACTACATTAATAGTTAAAATTGACTACATTTATTGTGAGCCAAAATGTTATTGCGTTCGAGGTACGAGAACTCAACCCCTAATTTGTGTTGGGTGTTCTGTGCATTATTGAGTGTCTTGTGCAATTAATAAGGGAGGTCTTCTCGAGATTGCATTCGTCGTCGACTTACATTTGCCTCGCTTTGAGGCGCTTGCTTACGTTTTGCCTCACTTTGACGCGCTAACTCACGTGGTGATTCGTGTGTCCTCGGCGTTCACCTTTCAAACGTTTGCTGAGGTCCGCTATTCTGTCTTCGTAAATCGTTCATCTTTTAAAAGTGTGCTGAACCTTCGTAAAGCGTGCATATTTAAGAGTTTGCTGAAGGTCTACTATCGATCTGTGTTTAATGAATCTTCCAAAGGGTTCATCTTTCAAAACGATGCTGAAAGTTTACACCCTGAGTAAAATTTTACTTTGGATTAAGCCTTCATATTTTTCTTTGGAAAATGCGTGCTACTCCTGGTGCATGCATCAAACCGGGTTGTTTCTTTGTGGCACAACGGCGTCTGTTGTGCCATAAAGTAAATCTACTGAGTTGAATTGTGTAGCTAGGCGGCCGTAGTGCCACAGAGTAAATCTACCAGGTTGTCTAGCTCGGTGCCCCTTATTCCACAAAGTAAATCTACCGAAATGTGAAACTCGGCGGCACCATTTCATCATGACTTGGGATATTTTCGGCACCGGGACAAACGAACATTTCAGCTCTATGTTATTTATTCGGAAAAACGTGACCAGCCCACAGCAGCGCCAGTCAAGCCACTGAAACTGAGTACACTCGATCAAATTACTGGAAAGGTTATTGACGTGAGCCGCACACACATTCCTCTGAAGGCTTTGATGATTCCCTTGAAACGTGTGAAATTGAGAGATGTAGTGTAAGTGAACCAGTGTTCAAGCACAATCATTCACCACAAAAATGTGGTCTTGGGTCTTCCTTTAATATCATCACAAGTTCAGAAGACTTGCCAGTAACGGTTTTCGGCATTTTATGGTAAATTTCAGTAATTGCCTACATGTGGAATTCCCAATATTAAATAAAATCAATGATTACATCTAAAACCTTGTCAACTGTTTGCTTTTTAACAGAACCTGGGCCGGGTTGTTCAAAGCTGGGTTAAGATAACCTACGCGAGGAGGGTTCGTGCAAAATTTGAACTCAGATGTAAAAGCTTCATTTTGCCATGCAATAAGTTGATGATTAGACACTCTTAAAAATAACTGAGAAAATTATCGAAGGAAATGTTTTTAACAAAAGAAAAAGAATCCTGGGTTAAGCGCTGATCGGCCTTCGAACAACTGCTCCCTGTAAAACATCTATTGCGCCTGTAGAACAAAAAGTTCTGAGTTTTACACGCCTGAAACACTCTGGCCAGTGTCTCCTCACTGTAACAAGTACTCGAGACGAACCATACGATACCACGCTGAACACTAGCCTTCAAAACCTTTTCATTGTGATACACAGTTTAAAGCGAGGTTTCGCTGTACGCAACCCTTACGTTCAAAATATGCCATAATCATAGTTATTTATCGCAAGAACCATCCACCCTTCCTCCTCAACTGCTACCTGCTGTACGCCTAGCAAACATATCGAACGTACTCTTCTAAGCTCAGATTACTCCTAGTATATAGTTCAAATTTTATTTCTTACATCTATCGTTAGTAATTTATTACATTTATGGGTGATACATTTGTTAAAGACTGCCTTGCGATTCGAACCATTGGTAGAAATGGTAAGCTCCTTAGTCAATTGGGATACCATTTGTAAATTCCACCTTCCGTTAGCGGCACAATGGACCCCAACAAATGCCAATGGTGAGAGGGGTGACTGCATCTCATTAACAACTGAAGGCCGTGCAAGAACCGCCCCGTAGACAGGTACCACTGGAAAAGAAGTGAGTCTTTTGGTCAGTTAGATAAGTCAACGAGTGCATTTTAAAGTTCTGTTTTTCACATTCAAGGCGGTGTTTATAAAATCTTAGATCTGCTAGTGGAACACTGTTGACCGCGCCCTCCAGCAAGACAGGGGTAACTCTAGCTTAAGCTTTGCTTCGATCCCGGGAAGTAAGCCCGTGACCTCCTGCTAGACAGGCCAGCCATCTCTTCATTGAGCAAACCATACCACACCCGTTTATTTCGTTTCGGTTCATGAATCAAGATATTTGCAAGCCCTTTGAATTACTCACGTACTCCATTAATCTAACCACAAAGTTAGTCAAACTAGCATTTTATTTTCTCTTTTAACAGTGTACCAAATAATGATATCATAATATCCTTGATAACACCTCTTATAACGTCTTTGCGACTTCTTATATGTAGGACCTAACTACATTTATATAACTTCTTCACTGATCTGTACGGGCACGATCACGTTCTGCAAGAAAAAAATTTCAACATTAGATCACGCTCAGCTGTATCATTCACACAAATGAACTTGGTCATGCAATCACTGTATAGCTTTCTAAGAACTAATAAATCATTATAATCAACCATGGCCATGCCATAATCAATATCATCATCGTAAATCGTTATCATCAAATTTATAAAATTATAGCCGTTAGGTAAATGCTTAGTGAGATATTCTCGAGCAAGAAAATTGATGATAATAACTAATAACTATAACCAATAACTATTTATCCCAGAAAAGTGCGCTGTTGGGGCCAAGCAAATGATAATTTCATTGAAATTTAGCACAACAAGGTTAAATATCCCCACTTGGAGAAGATGATAAAGCCTGATCGGGGTGTACAACTCGGATCGGTGACAAGGAGCAACTCCTACTAGTAAAGGTTTCTCCTTGTATGAGTTATATAGCAGTTATGCGGCTCGATAGGTATGGATTGTTCTCTTTCGGTCCCAAATTGGATATGGATCTTATCCTCTTGGGTGTGAAATAGGATGAGTATTTGTCGTTTTTGGAACAGGGACTAGAATTATGGATATTTTTTTGGTCTGAATAATGGGGTGTGGGAAGTCACATATTTTGGTCTCAAATAAGTTGAGGAATACAGAAAGCAAGCTTCGCGCCCTCACCCGAGTCCAGCGCGCTGACTACACGCTGCTTTGCCTAGTATGATTGTTTTCCCACCTAATTTGTTTTGCGATCATGGATTTGTGTATCACTTGCATGGTCCTTCGTTGCATGCCATGGACTCCTGTCGTGGTCCAACACAGTCCTTTCCCTTCCACTGACGAGGAGGATTAGTACAGGTTCGTGTTCGTACTTTGACGCCACTGCCGCAAGTCACACTACAGGCAGAGAACGGGGTCCATTTGGAGAAGCCGCCATCAACAGCTGTGAAAAAGATCGTGAACAAAATTGTGTCACTAAGGATCATGCTTACGTTGCCCTTTTAAACCTGGACGACCGCACAGAAAAACTTTTCTGAATTCACAGCCGTTTAGAGATTTCATCATGTCTACCGATTTCAGTTTAAGTAAATCTTTTTCAAGCGAGTTCTTCAAATCCTTCGTTTAATTTTCTAGAGGAGTATTTACCGGCAATACCTCTGTTAGCTCTCTTGTAGCTGTTCCCTTTTCGCCTTTTTCTCTGATTTATTATTTGAAAAAAAAAATAATATAACTAGAAATACGTGAATCGCAGAACCTCACGAGGTCGTGGGTGGCCCATCAAATGTAAGGGATGGAAGGGCTGCGGAGAATTAGAGTCACCCGTGTAACTGAAATATAGTCCATTTCCTAGTGGTGGAAGGAATTGGACCCTAGTCTCCTCGCTGCAAAAAGGAAGAACTGGTATCGGTGTAAGTGAATGATTACAGAGTAATAATTATTCAGTGGCATTTGGTCGAGTTCTGTATCAAATGAATGAGTGAATTAAATGGCAACAAATTGGTCCCACTACAGGGACACCTCCAAAACGCAGTAGCAGACCTCAGGAAACAAATAGATTTCAAAACAGTCGGTTTTTTCTCTCAAAATCAGTACAGAAATCGGTAAAGCATGGCGTAAGAGTCTTACGCGCGCGAAATGCGTGATCCTCAACCTCGTTCCAGACCTTTTGTTTGACTGCTTACACGTACCTGAATACGCACAAATACGGACTATTTTGCAGTCTAGGAAACATACCACGATAACATTAGAGAGTGAAGGGAAGAATAATGGGAAGGTTATTAGAGGACAAATTAATAGTAAAGAGAATAGTGGTGAAAAGGACACTTCTACGTATAGCCAGAATGTGAAAGTTATCGCCAAAAAAACATTCCGCGTCATAATTTTTCTTGGTACTTTAGCCCGCTCTCAGTTACATTATAAATATCACTTACGCTGGCAGATGACTTTCGTTAAGTCATCAAACAAGTCATTTAGTTCTGTATAATTTGACACGTGGAAGGCTTGGCCATTAGCGACGCCTCTTAATCCCCTCTGATGTTTCAACTTTTGACCCGTTGCGGTTACTACCAACTGTGCACCTTTTCCCTAAAATTCAAAAATATTTATCTTAAAAAATAAAACATCCTAAAAGACAGAACATTTTACAAACAGTCAAATAATGTACTTATTAAATCATAACTAACGGTTTCCACTATAATGCGTGAAAAGTTTTTTAAAAACGTTGAATTTGAAACTCAAAGAGGAGCTGAAGATGAATTCACGTTTTTTTCTACGTCTGCCGGAAAAAAATATAAGTATTTGATCAAAAAACAACGAAAAGGTACTCTGTATGCTAGGAACTTTAAACACTATTTGATGTTTCGTTCCATAATTTATGTTCAATATTTTCGTTAGCGATAAAATATGTTCATCTTAATGAAAAAGAACAAAAATCCTTTTTGAGGAAGCCGGCAGTTTCCATATCACGGATTTCCCAGATACGATCGCCACCATGCCCTTATGTTTACAATTTTTCTTATTAGCATACGAGTTAACCCATAGAAGGTGTCACCATATACCCTAATTAAACTCCAAAGTTGAAAGAGTTGGTTAATTTGAGCAATTTTTACGCGAAATTTCTGGGTGGAAAAAACGTGAATGAGCTTTTACATTCTTTGTAAAGTTAATTCGATTTTTTTTAAAGATGATTTCGCGGAAACTACTCGGTATGTCGAGCTCAAATTTTCACAGATAACTGAAATTGTTATACTCTTTTAATATTCAGAGAGTTTATTTTAACAGCTTCATCAGAGAATGTAAGGCATATGCTAATGAGGCAAAAAAATGTAAATTCGTCTATTGAGTTACAGTTCATTAAAAAAAGAACATGCTAAGTGATCACGTGATTTGAAAACAGCAAGCCAGAAAGGTAGAACAACATACATTACCTTCACAGGTGATGAAATAGTTTCAGTCATGTCTACCAACAAACCAAGGTTCAGTTTGCAACGGAACTTGTCATCTAAGAGAAATAAATGAGTAGATTAAGAAACAAGAATTAATTTATGAGCAAAACCTTTCAAGGGAGAGGACCCCCTCTTAAAATAGTCCTCTATCAGGAAATTAGAATTAGACCAGGAGCTCATGGGCTTCTGAATTAATTCCTAATGGAAGGCTACTCTGGACTCGTGGCTTAGACCTTACTTAAGCTTAACTTAAAGGTTTATTTTTCGTTCTTCACAATAATTACTAGCCTCGGTCACGAAAAAGAGCTGGAAACTTAGCTATTTTAATTTAAAAAAAAAATTAAAAAAAATTAAAAATTAAAAAAAAATTGATAAACATTCAAGAAATTCGCGTGAATTGAAGTTTTCTATGAAATCGTTGACTTTTTCGTGCTTGATATGTGCTCTAAACCTATATTTTGCTCAAAAGTTGCTCACAAAGGCAAAATTTGCTCGAGGTTGCTAGAACCGCAAAAGTTGCTCCAAACGCCAACCGTTTCTCAAAAGTTGCAGAGCACAATCGGGAAAGGCCTAATGACGACTTTCCCCTTTCTATCATATGGCTTCCCCCCTCCCCTCCCCTGGCCGGTAACTGACCCAAGGTTGAGTTCTCCTTCTCCATTCAATCTTTTACAAATAGAAAGAACAATAAACTACTTTCTACCTCTTACTCCAAGTACAAATCGCTGGCAGTTGTTTTTGACATCATTGGAGCAGTTAGAGGGGAGGCAGCAATAGTAAGATCCACTATCAGAATACTGCAAGTCGTTCACTGTCAATACATATGGCGCGTAAATCCCATCGCGATGTATGCGGTATTTTGCATCTGAGCCACCTGCCGAGATTTTTAAACGAGGTTTACATTTGCTTTTAAAACTGTGTGAAAACGTATTTAAACAAATAATGCCTCCTGGACAAAGCTAACGCCTTCATCAAGTACACTAGGGGGAGTACAATATTCATTACGCCAGCCTTCGATAGTAGCTGAAATTACAAATCATCACATCCTATCCTTGCTCTTGTATACTTGCCCAGATAATGACAAACAACACTATCTTGTAAGCTGGTGGAGAGTCCAAAAGACGTTCAACCCTTTAAACCGTAAGATCAAAACTTGAATTCTCATCTGTTGCCCCTATTCATTTCCTACAGAAGTAGTGGGGAGAAGTTGATAAAATATCAAGCAAATTCATCTTCTCTGTTATTCTCAAAATCACTCTGTTTTACAAGGCATTGATAATTACAAGGAGAAAATTGACACCAATCACTCTTAGGGCTCAAAGGGTTAAGCGGTGAGATGTACAATTGACCCAGCACTTACTTATGCAAGAGCGTTTATTGTCTTCACCACTCTTCTGAAACTTCCATTCAACGTTTAACGGGAAACCTTTGGCAGGACACTGAAAAGAAACACTTTCTTCCTTGAATTCGTTCAAGTCAGTATCCTCCTGTGGTTTATCAAACCATGGAGCAACTGAAATAAAGGTAAGAATTCATTTAAGACCCTGAACACTTAGAACTTACATTTGAAGATTAAAACATTTGTCAACCATCGGGAAAACGTTTCTTAACGTTGCCACTCTATTTTACAGAGTATTGTTTACAAAGCAAATAATAATTGTACTTGATAATGTTTAGGACCAATTTAAAGATTTTTATTATTGGTTACATTTCAAATTCTAATCCGTGGTTTTGTTGTTGACAGAGCGATTTTTGTATGACCTTGAAAAATGGTTTCGATAAGTGTTCGTTATTTGTTTTATCACCCGCCAATGGATAAAAAGATCAAAACACGGACTCTTCGCTTTCCGGCCAAAGGAAAACCTAATTAGGAGAAGAGATTGTTCGCTTGGCCAATCGTGTTGCAGTATGACGTCAAAGCGAAGTATCGATATGATTTCTAGAAAGTTCTCAGGCATGAGGTTAGCCTGCGTAGCTGGCGGTATTGTGTGGATGCGAGATTAAAGTTTTGGCGGCGGAGCTGTGTTCCAAAAAAAGGGAGTAGGGACGAGGCCGTTGACTATATTACAGCGGCTCCGCCGCCACATCTCACTACGCAGGCTAGCATGAAGTTTTTTCACCCGAGCGTTCGCTTAACCAACCAAAAGCCACGCGCGTTTGTATCCGTTCGAGGATAAACCAATCAAATCGCCCTTTTTCTATTCGTTTGTTGCTTCTGTTTTGTTCGCTCGTTGTCATTTCAAGGTCATACGAAAAATCGCTCTATTTTTGTTGTACTTTATAAGCCTTGTTGGTATACCAGACGCACAGCCAATCACATCTCAGATTAGTCAGATCTTATGTAGGTGAGATCATGCGTGAAATATATAATGCACTCTGTCTCAACAAAGTAAACAAGAATTATGGCAAAATAGTGTTATAGTGAAAACTGCCTAAGACTCATCGTATACTCACTTGTGATCATAGTACTGTCTGATACATTGTATGCTTTAATATTGCGAAGCGCAAGCTCAAGCTCACAACTGTAATTTCCTCCATCTCTGGCCGCGGCATTTTTTATAACTAGTGGCGCCAGTGTGTCTGCAGGGTTGTCTGGGTCAGGGTTTCTCAAACTTTGCTGTACAACACCATTTTTTAACCATGAAATCCTTTTCAGCCCAGTCCGATAGTCCTGGGCAAAAGTAATGTTGCAAAAGATGGTGATACTGTCACCGTGTTGAAGCATGTTGACTTCAGTCATAGACACAGAAGGAATTTCGTTTCCTAAAAGGAAAAAATAAGTAAGTAAGTAAAATGCTATGAAATGTGCTAATGGGCTTTTTACCATGAAAAACCTGCTTATTTTCCTTAAAATATATCTACGGAAAAATGCTTTCAATAACCTCTTATAATATTTTTGCTTTCATTTTGTGTCTGCTGAATTGGCGCAGTGTTCGACACGGATTCACAGCTGAGCAGTTTTGTTTTTTTCATGTTTGATTTATCATGGCCTTTTTTCCACTTTATCTCCTCTGTTTCGCGAGGTTTTGCGTTACACGTGTTTTCATAAATTTGAGACTAAACTTACTCAAAATGACGTTCACACTGAAACCATGCTTGCGCTCCAAGGATGATCCAACCGCAAAAGCGTGACATTCGTACCTTCCCAATTGACCAAACGTACTGTCGTGTTCTAGCGTTACATTCCGTATGTGCATCGTGACAATGAGCTTCTTTAATTTCTTTCCACCTGTAGAAGTGTTAGGAATGTTAGTAGGTAATTAATTTTCACACCGTCGAATAGCTTCCTTGCATATTTGTCATTGGCTGCGGGGATAACTATAGATAGCTATTTCGGTAATGTGACCTCTTCTCTGTTCGCTCTAACTATAGTTAGAAAAATTTACGCCTCTGCTGATGCAAAACAATACAGACTTGGGGCCTGTTTACATGGAGGTGGGGGACCCCAGGTAGGTGAGGTAACCCCCTTAGGTGGGGTAAAACAATAACCCTCCTTTACATGCAATCTTACAACCCGCCATCCCGGGGTGCACTTTCTCAAGATTATTGAATGGTCGCTAAGCACGTAAACAAGAAATATGCTGGCAAACCACGTGTTTTGGCGATTAATGCTCTTCAACACTCACTTGCTGGTCTTGCTGCAACATTCAGTGCTGTGGCTTTCTATTGTTTCCTTTAATAATGATGCAAAGCCACCACCAAAGTGAATTTTGCGCGAATTTGATGTATCACGAATCCGACCCCGGCCAGGCGGGTTACCCCACCTTGAACGTTTACATGGCAAAATTTGACCCCGGCTGAGAGGGTTACCCGGTCTGGTAGTGTAGACGTGATCAAATTAAAATGAGAGATCATATGGACAGGCGGGTGACCCCACCAAAGCGGGTTACCTCACCTACCTGGGGTCCCACCGGCCTCCATGTAAACAGGCCCTTAAATATAGTTATACACAAGCAGGGTTCGTGGGTTAGTCTCAAGTTTACAAACAAACAACCAATCAGAATGTGACACTTCTTTTCGCACGTGCGAGATGAGCATATATAAATATGCAAAATAATAACCAAGCGTGAAGCGAGGGGGAAACCAAAAACAACAAACAAAAAATTTACATCCGCTAATTAGAACTAACTGTCGTTAACTGCGTGGTGTGACCGCAATGTCGACCGAAAGCACCAACTACAGTTAGGTATGACATCACGTAACTTGACACTAACTTAAGTTAAACTTTGGTTACGTCGTAGATGTGACCGCAACCATTGGTAGTCTTTACACTAGAGCCTAAATAAGCTAAGAAATATTTCGAGACAAGTAAATTTTAAATTCTTCAAGTAAAAGAAAGCTTCACACACAACCTATCTTTTTTACTTCAGGTTTACTTAAGCCTATTTTCCCACGCAACATAATTAAGATTGATTGACACGCTTCGCCTTTCTCAAAGCTTAGAAACCGCAAGTTCGCTAAGTCGGTTTTAAGGACGGTTTTCAAGTCACTTGAACATTCTTGAATCGTTTCAACTTTCCGACTTTAATGAGATGCAAAGTAAAGTTACTTGAGATTTTACTTAGGCCTTCACACGTATAAAACTTAGCAGCTCTTTTAAGTCTTACTTAACAGCCTAGTGTAAAGACAACCATTGTCTTATGTAGTAAGGTATACAAGAAACTTGACAGATTCCTTTAAACAATGTAATGAAGCAATACGCCATTTCCGAGTTGCTCCAAGCCTCCAAGCCTGGAACAAAGGCTAATTCAGATCACTAATGTAAAGCGCGCTATCTCATTGTGTAATAGCGGTGTAATATCAAATATAAAATGGGATAATCAGTTCCAATACTTAGAGTCACTAATATGTTTTATTTTTATAAGACATCGGCTTACCCTTGTCCACTTCCTCGGTTCGGTGTGTGAAATATACGTTGTCATTAGCAGATATGTTTGTATAACGCGCAAACTTGTCCTTCCTCATGAACTGTATCCTTTCAGGAGTTTTTATTCCAGCTGAATCAAAGGCTACACAGGTAACCTGGGCAGAAGTGGACTCAATTGGATAGATGTTAGCGGGAAATGGCTCAACAATCCCAAATTTGTCCAAAGCTGAAGGGAAAGGAAAAAAGAAATTGAACCTTGTGCTTATGGACTTGAACTGGCGATTAACAAATTAAATTGAATTAAATTAAATTTATATGATAATACATAGTTTCCTGAGAAGCTCAGTTCTCTTCAGCATGTTTAAGTCACATTCTCAGTACGAATTTTATAGCTGTAAACAATGATTCAGCAGTTTTTCTAGAGCATCCTAGGAGATAGCCGGTCCCAGGCTCCGAGATAGTCGGGTCCGCTGGATTGAGAAAGCACAAACACGAAAAAATAACGGGAGAAAACCCTTTTTCCCACCCCGCCAACTTTTCGCGTGCCTTTTACTTTGACGCTTCTTCCCCACTATCTGAGAGCCTTGAACAGGCTACCTAAGAGAAGAACTTGAGTTGGTTCGAATTATTGGGAGGTTCGAAAAATTGAGGGGAGTTTCAAAGTCTAAATTAAATAGAAGACTCCGCCAGAGTTTGAGCTATCGTGAGTGTAACGAGTATACCTTAGGTTAGTGTACACGAAGTGCCATCCGGGCACGTGTTCAGGCGTTCCTGTGTAAATAGGTCAGTCCGCCATCTTGGTTGTCTTCTGTTATGGTAGCTGGTAAATAAATCAGTTTGTAGCGGACTCTGGTATGTTCCTAACTTGTTTCATGGTGTCAGAAGTGCAAGGCATCCACAAGCATTTATGAACGAAGAAAGTAGCGAAGGACAGCAATCTTCAGCAGCTCCGAACATCACCACATCGGGCGGTTCACCTTCCACTTCAGTAAACATGGCTAATTTTCAGATACCTCCTCCGGACATACTTGAGCTCAACGATGGCTCTTTAGCCTCTAATTGGCGCACATGGGTTGCTGCGTGGAAGAACTATACTTTGGCTACAAAACTCGACAAAGAGGAGGAAGCTCGTCAAGTTGCAACTCTATTGGCGGTTATTGGGAAAGAAGCAAACAAAGTGTTTCGCACGTTTACCTTTTCGTCACCAGATGACGCTAAGAAAATCGAGCCGGTCTTAAGAAAAT